TGTGTGTGTGTGTGTGTGTGTGTGTGTGTGTGTGTGTGTGGCCAGCTCAGCCCACCAGGGGGCGCGACTGGCTGGCATGTGGTGCTGGGGGATCAAACCGTGGTCCCTGTGCTTTTCCAAGCTTGTTCCAAATAGGTGCTTTAGACCACTGAGCCATCTCTCCAGCCCCCAGGGTACTTATTTTTAAAGAAGATTCAATTATTTAATACCCCAAAGGAGAAACAAATTTGTTTAGACTATCAATAAAATTTAAGGATTACTAGTAGAAATATTAATCCTACAGTTTAATGCATATATAATTTTTATCCTTTTCTTAATTTTTTTTCATTTATGGTTATTAAGTTTTATGAATATAGATTAACTGTAATAGTTCCAATAAAGTACTCATGAATGTTCCTCATGGACCATTTCATTAATATTCAAATATGCAAAACTTATTACATGAAATAATTATGATTTAAGGATTATTCAGGACATTACCCTTATTCAACAAAATTTAAAATGTATTTAGTCTTTTTGTAAAGGAGAAAAGTTTAATATTCTGGTAATTTTCCCTTAGAAATACAGACTTTTTGTATAGAATAAATTGTGGGCACTAGCCATAATTTTTCCTTTTGGAGTAGTATTTTATGTTTTTTTGGGGTTTTTTTGAGTCAGGATTTCATTATGTAATTCAAGCTGCTCTTGAATTAACTATGTAGCCCAGGTTGGCCTCAAATTTGCAGCAATCCTCCTTCCTCAGTCTCCTGAGTTCTGGGATCACAGGTATGTACCACCGCATCCAGCCTGTTATTATTTTGCATATTACAAAAAGAAAATGAGTTCTTGTAAGCAGCACTATAGCTCTATGAATGCCCAAGTCCAATTATCCTGTGGGAAAAATTGTCTGTCCGCTGTAAACATGAACACTTCAGCGTTTCTCTTTCCATGTCACACTCTGCTAAGTATCATGAGAACTCAGATTTATGACAGCAGAAGTGATGACATTTCAGCTATGATAACTTGCAAAATGCGCCTTAGGGAAGGGACATTATTTAAGTTTCATATAATAGTAGATCATTGAAATGTCACATGGAGCCTCATAGTGTATAGAAAACTGAATTTGACAATGTATTAATGAATAAATGAATGATGATTTAAAAAAAAAGAAAAAAGAAATGTCACATGGTATCCTATAAATATGTACAATTATTGTCAATGAAAAAATAAAAATAAAACAATAATCATAGACAATTTTCATTTCAATTGTGAGATATACATTAGGTTTTCTTTTTGTTACTTAATCATATAAAATGTACTTAGCATCTTTGCTATTAAAAGTAATTCATTTTATCTTTAAAAAATGTATTTCTCGCCAGTAAATATGAAGCACACAGATGGGAATGGCTTCATGTATAGCAATCCTCCAAATTCCAGGACAGTAAGACTCACAGGTTAGAAACTTGTTAGAAACTCAGGCTCTAAGGCCT